TTCGTTTGCAGGAAGCGGAAAGTGGCGGCGGAAGAGGATGACAGCCCTGCGGAGTTCGTACCATCCAAGCCGCTCAGTGTGAGTTTTGCCGCCGTGGCTTAGCTTCGGCCACACTTGAGGTGCAGGTGCACCCGAAAAGGAACACGTTACAAAACCCCGGTGTCTCAAAATCGGGGACCCCTTTTTGGGACCAGGTTTAAAGGGAAACTCGAGCAAACAGGTCACCTGTTTGGAGACACACCCCTATTTTCACTTTGGCGTGGGTGAAGCTGATTTGGGTTCCGATTTTTTGGTGGTGTGGTCCCAAAAGGTGATGGCCTCTGGCTTCTGGATTCGGGGTCAAGGGGCAACTGAGCTGGGGTTTGCCCCAAAACGATGTGTTTTTTTTGGTTTCGGGGGAAGGCGACTTAAATGAGACAGAATCAGAAGGTAGCATGTTCCACGCACCTCGGATGTCCAAGTCAAAGTCGAGGTAAGTACATGTAAGTACCCCGTGTTGGTATCCTCTTTACCCGCAAAGAGGCGGTGTGCCGTCTTGTTTCACCCTGGCGTACCAAGCAGAATCAAGTAGCTGTAGCAGCGCCCTTCCCACTGGAGGTCTAGTGCCGCTGTTTAGCTTAGGAAGTCGATGGGCAATATCGAAGCAATGCTGAAGCAGGCAGAAGTGGAGGAGCAGGAGGAGGAGAAGGAACAGAAGAAGAAGAAGAAGAAGAAGCCTAAAGCTCCTTGCCAACGTGGGTCATTAATCATTATTTTCACAATTTTCGTGGGCATTCAAAATCAGCTGGGGTGGTTTCCCTTTAACCTACCACTTGGGCGTGACTTTGGTAAATCAATGCGGTCAGAACTGGAAGGTTCCATTTGTTTTGACTCCTGCAAGATCCCCCTGGATTTCTGCTGCACGTAACCCATGCTCAGCTTGGCCGAGCTCTTGAGGATTTCCGAAGCAGGCTAAAGCAGATCATGGCAGCTCGGCTGCAAGCTTTGGCGTTTTTTTCCGGGATCGAACATGTCCTTGTGGCCGCCCTTGCCCTTGCAAGACATGCATGAAACAGCCCTGAGTTTAGTTGGAGCCGGGTAGGAATTGCAAATGCGTACAAATCGTACAAATGTCGAATGGACATGTCTTGTGACTTCTTTCCTCGCGATGGGGGAGAAAACAAAAAAAATAGAACCTCGCCGAAGCGTCAAGTGGTGTGCTGGGGCACGGGGCTTGTGCTTGGGGCTTGCTTGGGGCTTGCTTGGGACTCCTGTGTGCGCCAAGGAGAACAAGCACCTCGGATGCAATCCGGACACAATTCCGCCCGGATCGAATTTTGAAGGTTCAAACGTCTCAACCCTTCCACCACTTGTTCATTCTTTACCGTGGGTGTTCTTTGTTTGGATTCTTTTCCATCACAGCATCGCGCTGGACGAGACTTTTCCTTTTCTCCCCTCTGGATACCCAGAACGCCCGGAGGATCCGTGAGCCTGAGGAAAGAAGAGCGGAAGCAGAAGAGGAAGGAGCGGCAGGGACAGCCTTTGAGAGTCTCAGCTCAAGTCGGATCCACCGGATCAATCGACCTTTTGGGTGTTCTTCTTCTTTTTTTTGTTTGGTCTATGTTGGTAAAGGTGCCCCAAGGTTCGCCCTTTAAATCTCGGTCTTTGTTTTGTCCAGTTTTGGTTTCCCCTTTGTTTGGTCCACTTTAGTCAAGGTGCCAAAAGGCCAACCGCTTGAATCCGGCCGGGTCCCTATCCAACTGAGGAGCCAAGGAGAAGCTGAAGCTGAAAATCAAGCAGCTCAGCTTCCGTGGTGGAGGTCTTGCAGGGGATGTGTTTTTATTCCCATCCAGATTGGCAGACCTACGGGCGGCCCGTCTTTTTTGGGGGGGAGCCCAAAATCTTGTGGTTTTCCCGTTTGTGTCTGGTTAAAACCGTTAGCACAGGCCGAAAAAGGCATACCTTGAAAAAAGGTGTCTCCGTGTTTGCCGCTGCCGCTTTCTTCTTGGGCCTTTTTTTTCCTGGGCCAGGGGGGGGGGGGGGAGCCCGGGGCCAGCTCAGGAACATCAAGGAGCATTCCCTGACAAAGCCCCTTGGCGAGATCCAAGGACTCAGCCCCTGCTGAAGCTTTGGTGATACCGGCCACGTATTTTCAGGGCATGTATCATCAGCGCCTGCCCCCTTGGAGCCCTGCCCGCCGGCACGGCGCCTGAGGAAGAAGGCGGCAGAAGCTTCAAAGGAGCAACTCGGACGTGGCTGGAGCGAGCTTAAGTCCCCCCGGAAAAATAAGACATATTTTCAGTAGTAAAATCGATTCCCTTTACCAACAGGGGAAAATAAAGCATATTCATTTCAGCCAATGGGAAGTACCCTCCCACCAATTCACATGGAACCTCACAGCACGGGAGGGGGTCCCTTTGAAAGGAAAATGGTCCAAGCCAGGACCCTGCGAACCTCAGGTTCCATGTTAATTGGTGGGAGGGTAGGTGGTACGGTGCGTGCCCCGACTTGCATGATTGCAAGTAAACCAACCCCACAAAACAACCGACAAGTATGGCAAATTCGGGAATTCCCGTGTTCCCCTACTTGCAATATGTAGGGCGCCCACGGTATTTTCCGCTGTTGGAGCTAAAGGGAACCTATCACTGCGGGACATATGCAATATGTTTGTTTTTTTTTCCAAGGGGGCGTATTCACAAATGGAGGCTTTGTTGAGCCAAAAGTCCGCTTGTCAAGGGTTGGGCAAGTGCTAGGCACGAGGCAAGGAAGCAGTGGGACAGTTCTTGTTTAGGTCTGGCTCAGAGGGTTACTGAACCTGTCAGAGTTACCAAGGCTGCAATGTGCAGGGACCCAAACGCGTAAAACATGTTTGGCCTATCAAGTCAGCAGGTCAGAGGGCTTGTGACATCCTCGCATCAAGGAAAGAGAAGAAGCCTGCGGGGAAGTCGACTCCCTGCATGTTACTCCGGCAGCCAGAGCTTCGGTGGATGCCGACTCAATACCGCAAGTAGGGGAACAAGGAACCCCCCTAACTTACCGTAAGCCACTAGGGGTTACCATGGTTTTGTGGCTCGGTGTGGTTGGTTTGCTTGCAACATGGCGAACGGGGCATCCGGTGCGCTTGCAAGCTGCGCCCATCCAAATGGCCCCAATAGGGCTCCAATTGTGTTTTTCTCGATACCCGATAGGGAAATGGAAATTTCCACTTAATTTCGGGGAGAGAAGGTACCCTGGCTCTGAACTAGCGAAATGATGCCAACAGAAAAGCAGCAATGGATACGTCATCTTGTTTTGACATGGAGGACGTCCTTTATTGATAATTGTTAGGCCCCCCGTTCCCTCGCTCCAAACATATAGAATCAAGTAAATATTAGCAAGCAAAAAAGTAATGGTTTCGGGAAACTGGGCTGCCCTGAGTTCCCACGCTAAAAAAAACAACTTTTAAGTGGGTTAAATGAAAACAACCGCCAAACACTAAAAGGCTAAAAAGCTAAGGGGCCAAGGAAAACGTCTTGACTTCCAAGTCGATGGCCTGGCCAGTTCAAGAGTTTTGCGCTCGTGGAAACGCGGCTTTTTCGACGCCATGTTGGTACAGAAGTTCCTCGACTTCCCGGGGGCTTCGGGCGATTGAAACGCAGCACCGATCGAGGCTTCAGGGCCCGGGAAAGGCCACGGGTCGCCGAGTTGGCTTCCCCACTCCTTCGAAAGGTGGCGCCGAGGGTCGCGTCTTTGCCTCAAAGCGCAGCGCGCGAACCTGATGTTGGTTCTGCTCCAGCAGCCCAAAAAGCTACTCCTCAGAAGTGGGCCTCCTGTGTCGGCCGGAGCATCAGTTGGGGACGCACTGGTGTGCCTATCATGCGCAGGCGGGTGTTCACTCGGAGGAAACGGGGGTGAGTGTGTCCTAATCCAGGCAAACGCGGTTGAAGCACTGGTCTCGCTTCTTACGCATTGCAAACAGATCATTTGATCTATCTTCTGCTAAGTTGTGAACCACAGATGTCGGCGCTCGCCGCCTTTACGAAGCTGAAGGCGTGCATTTGCTACATCCCGTGACGGGACACACTTGCTGCAGGAAAAAAATCGGCTGCCGCTCAGTGGCGAACGCCAGACAAAGCATGAACAGGTGCACAGCTACAAGCGCAGTTTTCGACCCGCGTCAACTGCTTTGTCTCAAGACCCCAAACGGAGGGGGGGAGGAATGTGCGGGGGGGGGGGGGGAATGTGCCTGCCAAGGTTCATCAAGCAAGGGAAGGCTTGTCCTCACGCGCGGTGCCGCTTCTCGCACGACGTGTGAGTGTAAGGTGGCAGCTTCGGCTCAACGAGCCTGTGCCGGTAGAGTTAAAACAAGAGCGTCACATTTGGTTGCTTGCGGGAGAGCAAGGGACACCAAAGCGTAGGGTACTCTTTTAACCTCTCAGCCAAGCAAAAGGTATTGATGCGGCAGGGCGAATGTTGGAAAACATGCAATGAACGACTCCTGTGATCTAGCTCGACTGACTCTATTGCACCTTTGAGTGCTGGCAAATCCAAAATCGGCAATTTGTCCAAAAGGAAGGCCAAGGGGGGGGGGGGGGGTAATGCTTCAGTGCTTCCAATGATCTTTGGTTTTCTAGAAAACGGTTTGGATCCGCTTTTGGTGGTTTTGACCTGCTCTCCGCCCTGTCTGTCCTTGTTTTATGATCTTTTAGTCCTCTTTTGGTTTTCTACCAGGGAGGATCCACAGATTCGCCACATCCAAACCGTTTTGCTAGAGGTTTGGAAACCAATCCGCCCCAAGGACTGTGAATTGTGGTAGCGATTCCCCGACTCCAAAAGCCAGGCCAGGAACCTAGGCAGCCTTGGGCTCCCGAAACGCCTGGAAGATGTATTCGCCCTTTGAGTTGTTCTGCGGATCGTTTGCCTGGAACTGTTTGGTGCATGGATACGCTCACCGAGTTCATGGACACTAGACTTTAAAGTTCAGACTCTTTGGGAGAACAAAACCCGGGACCGACCGACCTAGAATCGGCTCAAGCGCCGAGGTTTTGGCCTTCTATGTGGTGAGACCCGTTGCTGGCTCAGTCAGTTCGTTCGCGCTTCCAACCTGAAACCGTCGTAAGATCATCACATCCTTCCTATTGGCTTGGGACCCGGTTTGGTATTTCCGGTGTTTCTTATAGATCCCTTTCCCCAGCGGTGAGCGCAGCAATATTTGGCGGTTAGCGCATGAGCGCGGGGCTCATATCTTCCAAAAGCAGGATGCCTTTTGCTGTGTGACCCTTTCCTGTGCCCTCTTGGAGCGTTCATGGGCCCCCCCTGCAGCGCAGATTCGGCCATGTAGCCGACTGGGAGCCAAGGTGAAGCGGCCAGAGGCCGAGGCCAAAGAGCACAAGAGATGGTGCAGGCGAGGCACTTGGAGAGCTTTGGGTTGCTTCCTCGGGCCCGTGTGCATTTTTTTCGGGGAGGGCACCAGGGTACTTTTTGGGTTCCATTGGGCGCTGCTATTCGGCAACGGATCTTTAGACTTGAGTTTTTTGGGAAATCAAGTTGGGGTTTTAGTTTTAAACCCACAAGAAGCTTTTTGCAGAGGTGTCAACAGCAACCAAGCTTGGGGTCCATCGTTATTGGGAGTGTACTCCTTGTTTTCCATTTGCGTGTGTCAGTTTTGGAGGGCATCCCTTGAGCCTCGGTTTAGAGGTCCCTGTTTTGAGACAAGCTCAGCAGATTCGGCAACTTCATTTCCGATTGGTAGCAGGCAGGTGCTGTCGCGTGGAGCTTTTTGGGAGGTACCCATTTTTGTTGTTTTTAAAGAGTCCCCGAAAAGACACACCCAGTTTTCAGGAGGTTCCTAGTAGAAAATGAGCAAACTGGCGATTCCCGGAAGATTATACCACGTGTGGTTTAAGCCCATGGGGCTTTCAACATTGGAATGGCTTGAAAGCCACTTACTGAGTAGCCTGCGAACGGCACCTATACAGGCAGAATAGACGGGATATTTCATCCCACCTGAACGTGTAACGTATCACCAAAAGTTGTGGCGTTTCCTCATGTTTCGGCCGGTGAATGGAACCAGAGAACTCCCCCCCCATGAGCTCATAGGGATTTTTAGTTTCCCACCCCTCAGGTGTCCGCCCTTCCTGACATTTGGGGACTTCGCCAGGTCTCACGGTTTGGTGGGCCGTGTATGGGCCGCGCGCCGAAGATGCAAGGGGGACCGGGCCCAAAATGGAATCGTCCCCAACCAAGTTCGTTGACTTTAAGCTTTTTTGGGACGACCATTTTAGTGGCAAGCCAAAAGTTTGGACTCTTTTGCCCCATCCACTCAGGAAGTGAGAAATAGGGTAGTCGCTCATTGCCAGGGTCACCCAGGTGCCTTGAGTCATTGAGGTTGCATTGAACATCGACGCATTCCACTGGTTTCAGTTTGGTTGAATCATTTGCCATTCGGGCCCGTCTATTGTCCACAAGAAGGACACCTTGTGAGCGCGATGCTGAGGTATCGCACACGGGCATCAACGTGCAGGTCAGTGGCAAAGCTGCCGACTGCGAGAAGTGCCCTCAGGGCGTCAGCGTCGAAGGGCTCGTAATTTCCGCACCTCAAACTGCTGTTAGGACAAAATTGTTGAGCCGCGGCTGGGCCCTGATTTGTGTCCTTCATCAAGTGAGCCATTGACCACACTTGATAGTGAGAAGCCCTCTTCGGCAATTGCCTTCATGCAGCAGGGTCCGTGAAAGCGATGTCAGCAACTACCCTCAACATGCCAATTAAAGCGAAACCATCATCAAAGGTCATCAAGAGATCATATATTAGAACCCGTCAACTGTTTTGGAGGTTTCCAACCCGGGTGCTCGAGCTAGAGTTCAGTCGTTGGTGTGATCTTTCTAAGCAGGCGAGCCAATAAATGTATAGGTATTTTCCTATCTTCCTTGAAGCGAGCCAAATGTCAAATCCCTGGTTTTGGTAGGTATTTTCCTATTTTTTTGGAGAATGTTCTGAGGATTTCTACGATTTCGCTTTGCTGGGATTCCGTAGAGGATAGCGTCCCACCAAATTGAAAGCCGCCTGCACCAGCTGTGCCTGGTGATTTTAGGTGCATCCTTGCGAGAAAAAAACGGATCCAGTTGTGAAGCTCATTGAATATCATCAAATGCCCTTTTGCTCCAATCAGCAACTGCACCACATCACTGTTGTTGATTGCACGTGTTTTGTTTGTGTTTCTTTTGTTTGTATTTCAAGGCTGTGCCCTTGAACCTCAACCCCCATCAAAAGCGCCGCGGTTTCCGGGAAGAGGTATGCGGACTTTGTGGCTGCGCGCTTCGGAGCCAAAGGCAGGGGGGTGAAAAGGTTGCTGTTGGGCATCCTTCATTGGTATTATGTTATAATTATTCGAGGTATCAGTGTGATTATTGTTGTTCAGTGTTACTAGTATTCTGGGGTCTTTGTTGGGCCTTATTCGGTTGGACAATGATCCTTTAACTTGTGGAGAAGATGCCTATGTTTCAGGTTACTTTGGGGAGAGGGGCAACAGCAATCCAGTTACAGTTCACGTTTGGGCGAATGGCCAGTGTCCGTGGTTTTTCGAGGGAAATTGCCAGCTCGTTTAGGAGACTGTGGATGGGGGTTCCGTGGTTTTCAGACACCACCTGGTTGCCAATGAACATTCTGTTGGTGTCCGGCAAGCGTTGTGTGAGCAACACTCAGTGCACCTGGACCGCCAATAGTGGCCCGGCACCAGGTTTGATGTTGTTGGTCGTAAGGCATGTCTTCTCCTTCCCTCAGGGTGTAAAAGGCGACTTAGTTGCTTGCCAATAGTCATAAAACCTACACAGGTGTGTTTGCCCCAACGGAAGTTGGCTACCTCGCTGTAGAAGTTTGCTGTTTCTGGATGTGTCTTTGCTAGTGGACCCCCAAAATGGAGGTTGTCTTGTTGATTCCCCTTTAAAACAACAAGGGGGCACCCTGCAGACAAGCCACACAAATCTGCACCAAGTGCGCGGTTTTTTGCGTTTCCGCCAGGTGCTCCCATGGTGTGCAAGCTGGACCCTGCCGGCGGCTCGGGGAAAAACAAGACAAAAAAGGACGGAGATCCGCCGTTCGGGGACCAAGGATATGCTCAGCGAAACGACCATTAGGACTGGCACTTGAAGGAATCCCGCTAAAATGGGGAGAATTGGTTTTCCCTGTTGGTTTTAAAGGGGGATCTATCCCTACTCTTTTGTTGCTTTTGGTCCTGGGGATCCAAAAAGCAGATGGAGGAAGAAGTTGTACCCACCATGTACCCACCCTCCAATCATGGGAGCTGAGAAGTGGGAAGGCGACATTCCCTTTGCGGAGAAAAATGACATAAACAAAAAGCTCAATAGTCACTTCCGATGACTATTCGAAGAGGGTGATGGTTGCTTCCAGGTGCGCGAGCCTGCGTTCCCGCACCTCAGGGTGAAGGCTGCGGGCTGCGAGTCTCTACCGACGTTTCGGAACTGGGCACATGGATGTGCATGCGCTTGGCCTCTTGTTTTTTTTTGTTTTCACTGGATTCCCAGTTGCTCTCAGTCCGGGCCCAGTCCAAATCTAGGTTTGTTTGGTGGGTTCCCCACATGCCAGCCACCCTCGAAAAGGGCCCAAGCCGTGGAGGCATTGAGCAACCGATTCGTCGGGCCCAGGCCTTTCGATTGGTGGGCCGACTCTGATTTTCTGATGTGATCAGCGAGTCATTTTTTCGGTCTGCATCTTCAAGGCCAGAGTAGTTGGCAACACGGGTAAACACCACTCCTTGGAGACTTAGCTCCACTTTGGGGTCTCAGTGGGTAGCTTAGGTCACTAGCCACGGCCAAACATCCATGTAGCATATAACGCCTGCGAGTGAGGGCCCGAAATTGCTGAGAAACCGGAAACACCATTTTTGTTTTGCAACCGTGACACACGTGCGTGCATTTGGAGATCTATGGGCACGCCAGTTGACCTGAGGTTTGGGTTTTCGACGTTTGGATTGGGCAGGTCTTCGATTTATTGGCTGTGCTTGAAGCAGTTTTCCTTTTGGCCTGGCCAAGTTCCCCCCAAAATGTCAAACCTCCCACCTCACAAGACTGCCGCGGCCAGGCCAAGAAGCTAGTGTCGCTCAGTGATGAGCGCAGCCAGCCCTTTTGGTGTCGCGACCGAAACCCGAAACTGGGGAGGCGTCCTTCAGGATTTTCCGGCGGTCGACCTTGTGAAATACAACCCGACTTTGGCGACGTGCAGCCAACCCAACAGAGTGTCTTGGTGTGCCCCCGGCTTGGGTTGCCACCCCCCGCCGACCGCGGTTGGGCTCGTGCCAGGCTGCAGGGTCTCGACATGACCGACCGGGGTAAGGACGCGTGGTTGCTTCTCTTGGGCTTGGGGATGGTCATTCCAGAGTTCCAATACGGTGAAGTACAGCATTGCATAAAGGCATAGGGGCACGTGATGGACTCCCCACTCACACGGCTGACTGACAGGAGGCCGCTGGAAGACCCTTCTTTTCTCGGTACGGGAATAGACGGTATTTACACACCTCAGAAGTATCAAGGACGGTCGTGCTCAGTACTCCAAACGCATCCCATCTCCAAACTCCTTCGCGAAATTCCGGTGGGCGTGTCTCAAAATGAGGACTCGCAACATGGATCATGGTTGGTGTTCTTTTGTCCTTTTCGACGCAGGGCTGACCATGAGGCGCACAGCCCATGCTTTCAGGACGCCCTTTTTGGCGGTTGTTTTACGCCAAAATCATCTTTCAGCCCAGCCTGCTTTGATGCTCGCCCAAATCGGTGCTGGCCAGGGTTTTGGGGGATACAACGCTTATGCGGCTGTAAGTACTACGAAACAGGGAACCCCCTGACCAGTGGATATAAATCCCTTACCTAAATGATGTCCACCAAAGCGAATTCAAGCTCATACCCATCCTCCGCGAGTTCATGGGCTTTAGTCACTTTTGGGGCTTTGGACCAAATTTTTCTAGGGGTCGCATTCCATTTCCATTCTTTTCAGCCACCCTTCTTTTCAAAAACCAGCCATGTCCCCGGGATGTTTGGTGGTTTTCTAGAAAGATTCGGATCCCCGGAAAGAATGGAAAAAAAAGCTACCCCTAGAACCGTGGATCACAGTTACCCTTGTCTTCCATTTCCAGAAGTTGGTGGTTTTGCTGGAATTGTCTGGGTTTCCAATTGGGTGGTTTTGTTCCTATAATTTTGGCGGCAAACTTCAAAAGCTGGTGGGCTATCTCTCTCTCTCTCTCTCGTTTCGGCCCATTCAAAACCAGCGGAAGTCAGCTTTCGGCAGGACTTGGAGCCCAAAGAGTGGCTGCAACGTTTGCAAGGCCGGCAGTTGGATCACCAGACTTGGGCCTCGGGGGTGATGTTAGGCCGTATGAAACATGATTGGTGCATTTTGTCAAGGGATGTTAGGACTTTAACTTTTCGCCAACTAATGGGTTTGATCTGGGTTGGATCTTTGGACTTGAACTTTGTGGGAAATCAATGGGTTTTCCACTAATGTTGGAGAGTCATAAATAAAGGGGCCCCCCCCCTCTCGAACGAATTGGGGGGGGGGGGTCAATAGCGAAAACCCCAAAAACAAAATGGGGGTCAGACTGGACCTGCCTGAGTAGTCTTCCAGTAAGTAATGTTTAGAATTGGTTTAGTATTGGTTTAGTATTGGTTTAGTATTGGTTTAGTATTCCTTTGAGCTGGCTCACTACGGTTTAGAATTGGTTTAGTATTAGTTCAGTATTCTTTTCAGTTGACTCACTACAGTTTAGAATTGGTTTAGTATTGGTTCTTCTTCTTGGCAGGCTGCCCTGGCCAATTGTTTTGACAATTTCCTACCCTTAAACAAACTGCATTATTGCCTTCCGGGGTTCCGTGTGCCACCCCCTTTTTTTTTGCCGGGGTGCATCTTCTAGTAAAAGGGATTGACAAGGAATTTGGTGGTTTGGGACAGGAAGCAATCCAGAGATTCTTGACATTTCTGGCTGGACTCAAACGTTTCAACCCTCAAAACTAGTCCATTCTTGGAAGGGAACATATTTTCGGGATTTCGGGCAGATTTGTTTCTGTAATACCTACCCTTTTTGCTTTTCAGGAGGGTGAATAATTTTGAGAGTTGTTTCTGTATTCACTTCCCTTTTCTTAATCGCTATCTAACATTAATCCCCCAAAAGGTGCATTTTGTCAAGGGATGTTAGGACTTTAACTTTTTGCCAACTAATGGGTTTGATCTGGGTTGGATCTTTGGACTTGAACTTTCTAGGAAATCGATGGGTTTTCCACTAACCCCCCAAAAGGTGCAGTTTGTCAAGGGATGTTAGGACTTTCACTTGTTGCCAACTAATGGGTTTGATCTGGGTTGGATCTTTGGACTTGAACTTTGCGGGAAATCAATGGGCTTTCCACTAATCCCCCAAAAGGTGCATTTTGTCAAGGGATGCTAGGACTTTCACTTTTTGCCAACTAATGGGTTTGATCTGGGTTTAAGCTTCTGGTGAAATCAATGGGTGTTCCACTAATCCCCCAAAAGGTGCATTTTGCCAAGGGATGTTAGAACTTTCACTTTTTGCCAACTAATGGGTTTGATCTGGGTTGGATCTTTACACTCTAAGTTTCTGGGAAATCAATGGGTTTTCCACTAATCCCCCAAAAGGTGCATTTTGCCAAGGGATGTTAGAACTTTCACTTTTTGCCAACTAATGGGTTTGATCTGGGTTGGATCTTTAGAGTCTAAGTTTCTGGGAAATCAATGGGTTTTCCACTAATCCCCCAAAAGGTGCATTTTGCCAAGGGATGTTAGAACTTTCTCTTTTTTGCCAACTAATGGGTTTGATCTGGGTTGGATCTTTAGAATTCTTTAGACTTTACGTTTCTGGGAAATCATTGGGTTTTCCACTAATCCCCCAAAAGGTGCATGGTTTCAAGGGATGTTAGGACTTTAACTTTTTGCCAACTAACGGGTTTTCCATTACTGTAAACCACTAAAAGTCAAACTTTTTGCAGGGGGGCGGAAAGCAACCGAGAAATGAAGGCGGATCGAGGTTCGGCTTATTCGTTCCTTTGATTTTGGAAAAGATGTCCAGAGGGTATAGGACCTTACACCCATATACTGGGTTCAAAGTGAACATTTCAAGGGGTTCGCAAAATTGCGCGGGGCAGGGCCCATTGCCGTTCAGTCTAAATCCAAAACCACCAGCAAGTGAAGTTCTTACCTCCCTGCAAGCCGGAAGCAGAGATCAACTGAGCTAGCTGATGTAGACCAACCTGCACCAACCCACCAACCGGCAGGAGGTGTGGGCGAAACCCGGGTGGCAGTACATGGTTTCAGCTCAATCCGGCGCAGGGCTGGATGATGGCCAGTGCCGCACCCAAAACGAGTCCCGCATCCGGGGATTTTTTGTGATGCGTTTTAAAACCCATTTTGGGGGTCCACCTGATGACACATACCCACGCCCATATTCATGCAGGAGTGGGGATGCCCGTGACATCACCGGTTTGGCTAAAATCTTGTGACTTGTTGAATGGTGGGAGGGGCCAGATAGAGCGGATCTCACAAGAAATGGACCCGATCGATCGGATCTCCGGACAAAATCCAAATCCTGGGCTCAGGCTTTAGAATCCGTTCGACTCACTCCTGAGTTCCTGGGCTTTTGGAGAACACTTTTTGCTGTACCCTTCCACCAACTAACATGGAACCCGACAGGAGGCCCCTTTAAAAACAAAATGATCTTCCTGGACACCCCGAACCGTCGAACGGTTCCACGTGCAAAAGGGTGGGAGGGCATGCGCCAGGAAGTGAGTCGATGTGTTGCAGTCGCTATAGGGAATGCCGAAAAATCGCATCAGTTCAGTTCTGCGAGAGGACCAACTCCATGACTGACCCGGATGATCATGGAATCCAACAACCTTGCCCCGCAAACTACCCATAAGAAAGAAGCCATATTATTTTAAACGTATGGGGCGACGTTTTGCGGCCAGTTTTCTCCGGGCACAGAAAAAAAGCATTGCTTGGAGCATCTCCTACGTCCCCCAGTGCCCTTTCTCACCCCTTTTTGGGGGAGATTCGGTTCCCCTAAAATCGACTACCTCTCTGCTGGAGGACCGAGTCTCCTTGACACCCCGAGGCCTGGGAAAGTGCTGGACATCCGCAACAACTACGAGCCCCGCGGCTCATTTCTTCAGTTTGGGACCGACAAATCGCGCGGCGGAGTGTTGTTTCTTTTGGTGTTCTCACCTTGGAAAGATCGGAAACCAACAAGAAGCCCCAAGCAGAACCCTCAAAATGGCGATGCGCCCGACCAATTTGAAAGCAGTTGCGGGGGAGGGGCGGGGAATAAGTTGGTCTAGTATTGGCCAAATTCTGGGGTTGGGTATTGGGGAGGGGGATAGGCTGTGTCTGATGGAAATTCTAGTGCCTTCTTACCAACAGTGCTTTGCCCGGCCAGTGGTGGCTTGCTAACATCCAATCGGGTGTCCACAGCACCCAAATGAACACACTGCATATTCATAACGTTTGCATTTAAAATCCATGAGAGGAAGGGAGGAAGGAAGGAAGGAAGGAAGGAAGGAAGGAAGGAAGGAAGGGAGGGAGGGAGGGAGGGAGGGAGGGAGGGAGGACGGAGGGAGGACGGAGGGAGGACGGAGGGAGAGAGAGAGAGAGAGAGAGAGAGAGAGAGAGAGAGAGAGAACCACTATGTGACAAATAAGCAACTGGGATCTGTGCCTTTTCTGGGCCAAGACGCCTCTGGTTTGAAACCTGCGGCATGCAAGAGAGAGCGCGAGGGAGAGCGCGAGGGAGAGAGGGTTGGTCGCAGGAGTCCTTCGGGTGATTTGGTCGGAATTCACGGCAGGGCATGGCCGCTTGAGGTGGGAGCTGGGGCACTTTGGTCCAGCGAAGCGACCAAACACGGAGGAGCTGAGAGAGCGGCGCTCAGTTGTTCCGTATATGTGGATAGGTCAAAATAGGGGAACACATTGTCACAGACACACAGGGACACAGGGACACAGACACACAAACACAAACACAAACACAAACACAGAGACACACACACACACACACACACACATGTGTGTGTGTGTGGTTGTGTGTGTGTGCGTGTGTCCCCTTTTGGCAGTGTTAAATATATGTGTATATATATATAATGTGTTGGTGATTGATGTTTGTTTATGGGACATGTAGGGAGCCATGTTTTTTTGATCACCCCACCACAAAATGATTTAGACCCTTGCAAAGGGTTATTTTCTTTGATTTTCTGACACTCTTGGCTGCAATGCGAGTCATGTTGCCACAATCAAAGCGGGCACATGAGCCACAAGCAAAGCAGGCTGCAAGGGCCAGTCGCATCCAGAAATAGCTGCGGATAGTTGGTTTCATGCTTCGTTGCCATATGTTTGGGTAGACCCCTTGAAAGCCAGGTTTGATTGCGACTCAGGGATGCTTGAACCAGGGGTGCTTGATTTCTCACAAGGGGCAGGCTTAAGAGAAAGGGGGGGAATTGCCCCGAGATCTATGGCGTAGGTTTGCAGGTTGCCAAGCGGGGCGTCTAGCAGGTGTCCAGTGACTTCATGGACATCCGCTGCCACAGTCAAACGAGTTCTTGATGGCTTCCAGTTTCAGCAGTGAGGATTTGACAGCCAGTAACTTCACAGGGCCTTAGGGCGGTTTGTGCTTGAAGGATACAATCCTGTCACAGTGTAAACCACATGTTCGGCCTGATTTGGGGTTTTTTTGTGGATCAGATGATATTAGGATGTACCTGAGCTGGAGTCGCTAGCCCTGGCAGGCAAGGGTTTGGGACGAGCTGTTGGCCAGTTCGGCTTTCCAGTTGCATTTAGTATAGGTAAGTTGTAACCTGGGGGTTTATTTGAGTTCGCCTACGAAGATTCCTTACTTCGGGGATTCATGTTTGGTTCTTGATTTTGAGGTACCCTCTTTCCAGCAATGGAAGTAGACAGTTTTTGGCCTTTTCAGGGGGACTGCATCTTGCAAAAGCCCCTACTGTGGATGGACGAAATCCTGCACCACCTAAGCAACCGTGGGAAACCAGGATTTGTTGAAATTTACAGGGAAATCATCATTCCAGGGTGTCTTTGGCGGTGCAGGAATTCGTCCATCCGCATCCGTGAATAACAAGTGGGTTACTGTATTTGCAAAGACTGGCTCGCCACAAGCGACCGCACCCGCGATTCGATGGCTCAAAGCCGGGAGAGTGGATACGCCCGCTAGCTTGCAAGGTGCACATATGGCAGCTCAGCAGGAAGCCAGCATCTCAAGTTTGGCGTGTGGGCACCATGCTTTCACTGAAACGAAATTGCTGCCGCAGGCTGTCCCAAGTTGCCGCAATGAGAACGTGGTCAATGCGTACAGCAGCAACATGTCCAACTCAGCTGTGGCACGAGCAGAGCAAACAAAGTTTGAGTGGGGCTGCGATGGGCGCATCCCAAAGCCCTGAAATGATGCCAGGGCCCTGGGGTGGTTGGAAGCCGACCTTTGCACCTGCTGCTTCTTGTTGGTCCGTTTTTTGGTCATGGCCCCAAGAGGTCAAGCATGGTCCTTTTGGCCTGTGATGCCGTAAGTATCCCTATGGTTTGGGCCAGGTTCACCAGCAAGTTTCAGAAAAATCCACCGTTGCCAGCTTGCAGCTTACGCGTGCCAAAACCGCATGTAGGCATCAGCAAGCAAGGACTGTGGCTGGCCGGGTAGGCATGGAACATGCTCATACCACAGGAAATGGCGGTCCCACATTCACGGAAGTGTCCAGGTTGGAGTGAAAACCCAAGGGATTTCCAGGTGGCACGTGAGACCGAGGAACACAGAGTCATTGGACAAGGTGAATGGGTTCCAGGACGGTCGGCAAAAAACGCGTCGTCAGAGCCGGAGGGTTGGTAGGCCCGCTATCCCTCCACCCCAGGTATCTGTTGCACTGAGTCTTATCAAGGGACGCTTTGGTGGGTTCCATGTTAGTGGGACCCGGTGTGTTCAAGAGTAGAGGGCGTTTTTTGGCATGGTCGTTGGCAACAAAATTAACAAGACACCACCCTTTTTCAGGTATGCTTGCTGATTGTTGGAGTGGGAGCCAAGCGTTGTTGTGTCAGAGCATTTGTTCAACGGGGCTTTTTTTGAGGAGAGGCTGGTGCTGGTTGTGGCGCGCTTTATTTGAAAAATCTCCCCAACTGCAGCGGTTCCGAGGGTTCTCTGATGGGCAGGTCTCAAAATTCGGTTGCTCATTGCCAAGTCTGGGCAGTGGTTCGACACCTGGAGTGAGTACTCACTTCCTGAGCTCCTGGACTTTATGCTTTTTGCGGTTGGACTATTTGTTTCGTTGCCAATCCGCTCAGGAAGTGATCGTCTCACGAGCTTTGATCGTTTGGTCGGCTTTGGTTGGGGTTCGGTTTCACTGAAGCCTTCGTTCTCACGCGGCGTTTTTGCCCAGGGAGACTTAAAAGTGCCCTAGCTTTCTGCACTAAGCAGCCTCAAAGACTTCGCGTTAATGGTTTCCCCACTGAACACACTTCAACCCAGAGTCGGCCATGTGACCATATTTTGGTGCTTCATGTTTGCTATACTTGTAGTCAACGGTTGGTTTCGCTTGTTTCGGTTGTCAACACTTCTAGTGGTTCCCGTGATGTCCCAGTCTTGGTGGTGTTTGTGTAGCATTAGAGATGCCCCTGACACACACACACACACACACACCGTCTTGGTTGAACACGGGGAACACGGGTCCTCGTGTTGTCTTTGGGTCCCTAGCCTTCGCTCTCGCTAGGGCGTGGTGAGTGTGCAAACCGACATTCTCCAGGAGCGGGGACCTGGCTGCCTGAGGGAACAGGAATGGCCAAGCCTGTACCGTAAACTTGCCTCTTAAAAACACAAAATGTTTCTCAACTTTTTGGGTGACATCGGCTATATGTCTGTAAAAGACGAGAACTTCCCCAGGGCGCAGGGAGTTTTAAGGGGTAAGTCTAAATGTTCTCTTGCAACTCTTGCACTGTTTCAAAGTCCCTGGAGCCTAAGTGGCAAGTGCAATTGCATTGGATCAAGTTGCAAGCATACCATTTGCCGGGGGGAGCCTTTGCCGTTTTTTGCGGGGAGCTCCGCTTGATTCATCCGCCTGCATGAGTCATCCTGGGTCAACGTTGTGGAACCCCTCACGGTTCCAACAAAGCTCCAAGAAATGCATCCGACAAAGTCATGAGCCTCCAGGGAAATGTCCAAGGTTGTTCAAAGGATTCCCTTAAGGGTACGTGTGGGCCAAATTAGAAACCACCAATACACGCTCTTCAAAGGGTTTCTACGTATTTTTTGGAGTGTATCCTTCAAAGGACCCTGAGAAAGGAGTCTGCAACAAGCGCAGGCCCTCTCGGGGCGCCGATGATCAAATGGTTCCGAGAGCCTTTCTGTGCGGTTTGGAAGGGTTCGGGCGCCTGTGGTGCTGTTTTGGATGGATTCCAACCACTGCATGTCACAAGGTGGTAGCTTTTGGCTTTCCTCTTGCATCCACTCGCGTGGGAGAGGGGGGGGGTCCTTCTGGGGTACCTAAATACCGGGGAACAAGGGCACCTGATTGTTTGGTGGTGTGAAAGGCCAACCTGCAAAGTACAGGAAAACGGTGCTACTACAGGTATGAGAATGTGCTTTGGGTGGGGAAACGCATGATATTCCCAACTAACAGGGCAATGCGTCGTTTGCCTCACTGCCGGAAAAAGGCCCAAGCAGGAAGATTTGGACATCAGTGACCCGGATGAATCAACCCTGCCCTTTTTCACATGCGAGGGTGCTTCCCCAGAAAGTTGGACATCCCCATATCAACCAAAACCTGATTCATCCTTGGAACCCGCCAAAAAAGAAGAAGGAAAAACCGCCTTTGATTTTTGGATTTCGATTTGAAGCCCAGGTGTTCGACAAAGTCCAAACCGACCTGCGACCTCCCTGATTCTGGTTGGGCGAATGGGAAAAACCGACCAAACCGACCAGGAGAAGCCGCCTGGCCCCAGGCCAACATCCGCAGCCCGGCCTTGAGCAGCGCATGAAGGGAGTTGCCCCTCCCCCCCCCAGACTGATGCTTTGAAGAATGTCTTCCAACTGGTGTTGGGTCAGGTTGTGTTTTTCTTTCTTTGTGGTGTTTGTTGGCTCTGTTCAGTTTGCGTGGGGCGAAGTTGGTCGCTTGTTGTTGTTGTGTGTTTGTTGGTTCTGTTCATTTTGCGTGCTCCGTTTCACACGTCAGAGCTGTAGTTGTGCTACTTGGGTGTTTGTTTTGTTCAAAAGGGGCCGTGTTCAACTTGCGTCTGCTGGAATGAGTATGTGCTTTTTCATGTTCCCGTTTTGGTTTTAAAGGGAATCCGATTCACAACTGGAAATATGGTTGCATGTTTTCCCAGGGGACTTAAGCAAATGGAGGTCAATTGAACGCACAGATTTCGCAAATCGAAACACATGCATGTTTGGGTATTTTGGTGGAGAACATACCAACGGTTTGAGGGGCTGCCGGCCGTTGTCAGGACCAAAGATCATCTTGGTTTCTCTGGGAAACTGTGAAACTCGCCCAGCCTGTGGGCGCACTTTGCACTTTGTTCCTTGGTGGCTCTCCTTTTATTTTAATGGTGGCCCAAGAAGTGTGCACTTGGTTTTAGTTGGTCACTGGCCAAGTGAGGAAATCGTTGTTGGCTTCATGAAGCGGGTTGGCCAACGCCTGCACTGTGAAAGATCAGTCCTCTCCGAGTGGCCATCCGAGACGGGGGTGCGGATCCCTTTCTGAAGCTGCTTGGGCAACGTGGCGTGGGGGATCGAAGGTCGTGTTAAGCCAACCGGAGGTTCTTTCCGTGCGGCCAAGCAGCGTTTCACATTGAGCAAGTTTCAAGAGCCACCCGGCCTCTGCAACAGACCAAGGCCCACACCAAGCCGTTTTGTACTGGTTAATGAAAGTT